AATGCCAGGAGCCCTGGGCTAGTAATCCTAGTGAATGTGCCCACTGTGCTACAGGCCTGTAAACAAGGGGCGACCAAAACGCTGGCTTGCATCCATAGATGCTTCTCAAGCAAATCCCGGGACGTCATTCTCCCCCTGTACTCGGCCTTAGTGAGGCCGCAGCTGGAGTACTGTGTCCAGTTTTGGGCTCCACAATTCAAAAAGGATGTGGAGAAGCTTGAGAGAGTCCAGAGAAGAGCCACGCGCATGATCAGAGGTCAGGGAAGCAGACCCTACGATGACAGGCTGAGAGCCCTGGGGCTCTTTAGCCTGGAAAAGCGCAGGCTCAGGGGTGATCTGATGGCCACCTACAAGTTTATCAGGGGTGACCACCAGCATCTGGGGGAACGTTTGTTCACCAGAGCGCCCCAAGGGATGACGAGGTCGAATGGTCACAAACTACTTCAAGACCGTTTCAGGCTGGACATAAGGAAGAACTTCTTTACTGTCCGAGCCCCCAGGGTCTGGAACAGCCTGCCACCGGAGGTGGTTCAAGCGCCTTCATTGAACACCTTCAAGATGAAACTGGATGCTTATCTTGCTGGGATCCTATGACCCCAGCTGACTTCCTGCCCTTTGGGTGGGGGGCTGGACTCGTTGAGAATCACAGGACCCTTCCAGCTCTGATGTCTATGAAATCTAACCCTCAAGTAAGCAGCTTGCCCCAGGCCACAACAGGTGTGAACAGCTCTTGCCATGGCAGGGGAAGGGGGGATCAGACTGAAGTAGCTTTGAGGGGAGCACGTGAAGTTGCAGATACTTGGGAATGTCCCTGGCCACCCTGTCATGCCCTCCCTGTGCCCTGGCTGTGCTCACTTGGTTCTAGCCACCAGTCTTGCCTGGGGGAAAACATTGGGGTGCCCCACACAGCAGGGAGCCAGACCTGCTTCCCCGCTGGTGGCCGTGCTCTGGAGCAGGCTGTGCTGCCGTAACAAGCGCCCCTTGGCCTGGGCTGGCACGGCTGCCGTGGAGTTGCTGGCTGGTATTCAGTTGCTGGCAGAGCCATATGCTGCCTGTCCAGGTTCTTTATACAGGGCCGTTGTCATGATGCTACAGAACAGCTGTTTGCACCAAGCGATGCGCACCAGAGAGAGCCTTTTCAACGCTTCCTTCTGCCAAGCTGCTTTTAGCTTGTGCCTGAGCTCTCAGTCTGGGGGCTGTGCGTGCTGGAGGGGCGAGCTGGATGCTTGTCAGAGGCTTTTCCCTTCCACAGACCTTGCCCAGAGCTGAAGAGTGCACAGCTGGGAGCTATGTAGGTTTCCTCTCCCCGCAGCCCTTGCATTCGCCATCCTCACTCCTGTCCCATTCAGGGGTTTTCCTGCCGCCGCCTCCTTTCTGCATGTTTTGCCCTGACATTCACAGTTGCTAAGCTGTCTCCTTCACCTTGTCAGTCTTGTCTCTTCTGTGTCTGAGCCGCACCATACGTCCCCTCGGGCAGACCTCTCAGGCAGCTGGACTATAAAGCAGCCATATTTTATAGAAACATTAAAAATATCAGCTCCCTAGGGAGCAGTTGGGAGCTGTTTGAGAGGCAGATGACCCCGGGGTGGAACGGAGCAAGTGTTGGTGCGCAGAAGTGCCATCCAGGCCTAGTTTCAGATAGAAACAGACGGCTGCATCCAGCCACGGCTGCATCCAGCCACAGCTGCAGGGTGGAGCCAAAGGTGGCAGACTCCAGCTCCACGCATTGCCATTCCTACAGCTCTCAAGTGGTGAGAAGTGTCCTGACCTTATCAGTGGCTGTCGCCTATCAGGACCTGGCTGATAGCCGCCATCTGCAAGTGGGTACCTTTCACCAGGCAGCTGTTGCCTCTTCTAGCCTCAGCCCAAGCCAGCTGGCACAGTGCCCTCCTCCCTGACTCACGAGCATCGCTTCTCTTCTCTGATGCATTGTAACCCTGAGCTGAGTGAAGGAGAGTTGTGTAGGAAAGAAGCTGGGCTTTAAAATATGCATGTCATTCTCTGTGGGTCTCTGAGCCTTTCAGAGCTATGGATGCCCAAAGGAGTGATCCTGCTGCTTTTGACAATACCAGCCTCCTTCCTGGTGCCTGGTGACTGGCAAAAACTAGTGGAGCATTAAACACAGGTTGCTTGAAACCTTGGCTCCAGGGCAGGCTTCTCTTGGGGCAGGGGGAGGGCTGGGTGAGCCTGACCTGACTTCTAAAGGGAGTTTGTGGTGAGGTCCCCCTCCCTGAGGGCAGGGCATCTTCTGCTCTTCTAGCCCAGCGGTGCCCAGGGCTCCAGCATTCAGACAACTCCCCAGAGCCCCAGTGCCTGAAGGGGTGACCCGCCTGTCATGTGTTTTCTTACCTCCCTCCACCCAGGCTCATGGAGCATGAACCCTAGGGGGAGCTGAGTGTATCAGACCCACTAGTTTGTACTGCACGGTCCTCCGGACCCCATCGTGTTAGATGCTGGGCACTCAGACCAGCTGAGGTCATTGGTAGAGCACACAGGTCTCCTGGCCGAGGCTGGTGCCCCAGCCCCTGACTCCTACTGCTACCACCTCCAGGGGTGTCCACTAAAGCTACAAGGCCCTGGAGGAGCCACCCTGTGTGTCTGGGCCATGCAAGGCCGTGCACATGGGTCAGCATCCTGCTGTCTCGCCACAAACTCCTGTTTGACACACTTCTCCCAGCCTGTTGGAAGGGAGCGCTGCCTTTCACATGCCATGTGCCCTTCAGGGACTGAACTGACAGCAGCAGGCACCTGCTGAGCTCCTAATTAGCTGGATTTGAAAACCAAGTCTGCAAAAGAGTCCTGTCCTCCCCTCCCAAGTCCCCCAGAAAACCTGCAGCTTCTCCTGTGTGAGGCAGCTCTGTCCCTTGGCACTCCACTTTTGGGTCAGCCTAGGGAGGGGCAGCGGCTGTCTGAAGCTGAGCAGTTTCCCTGTGCCGAAGCACTGCCATCAGTACCTCAGCACCCTGAGCAAGGCTTTTCAGTAGTTTAAGAGCCATTAATGCCTTCACAGCTCTGCCCAGACTCTCAAAGCCCTCCTGCTCCACCTGATTGTATGTTTTTGCAGGCTCCAGCTGCCAACTCAGCATAGCCCCCATCTCTTCCTATCAAGCAGTCACACTTGTAACTCCTGTCCCCATTCCCCTCCTGCTGCTGCCAGGAGGCTTGACACTGCCCGTGTGCCAGGCTCCTGCAGTGGAGTGGTGGTGCCCATGTGGTAGAGCCCACGCAGGGAGCCACTGCACAGAAGCTAGTCCAGTGCGAATTCCCAGCCCCACTTTCCACACACAGTGGTCCCTGCTTTGCCAGGCCCTGGGGGAATAAAGAGCCTCCTCTTCCTTCAGTTTCATTGGGACTTAGGTGCTTCTTTATTAGTTGTAGTGTGGTAGTGTGAAAATCCCCTAGCCATGGTCCCTTGGGCTAAGAGCTGTCTGAATTCAGAACAATCCCAACTCCCGCATTTCCTTTGAAAGGCCCAGCCTCTCAACCTGGTTTCCAAAGGTGCCTGCACTGGAAAGCCCAGAGAGATGCCAGCACCCACACCTCTGAAACCCACATCTGCCACAAGCCTTGGGGACAGGATGGTGTGACCTGACCCCCTTTTCCCCCCCCAACTACAGATGGGGACCCTGCAGCAGTGAGGGGTGTCGTGACTTGCTCAGCTGTGCAGGCCCTGGCTTTAACCACAAGACCAGTGGTTTTCAACCTGTGATCCACAGAGCCCTGGGGGCCCACAGACTATGTTTAAAGGGTCTGCAAAAAATGACTATGATCAGTCAAAAGTATGTGACTACCCACACTTACAATTCAAAGGGGTGTGGACCTCCATTCGAAATTTCCAAAGGGTTCCACAAATGAAAAAAGGTTGAAAATCAATGCCTTTCATTCTAGAGCCTGCCCCAGGTACTGCTGCAACGCAGTTGTCTCTGCGATGAGGCGGAACAGGCAACAGCAGCATGGAGGGCAAGGAAAAATTTTGGCTCCTGTGGTTGGGCTGCTGCTGAGAGTGGATCTGACATGAGCACAGAGCTGCTGAGTCCTTGGGCACATTCCAGCTAGGGCTGTTTCCCTTGGTGTTTCCTCTCCTTCCTGCCCTGCAGTGCTGCTGCTTGCTGCTAAACAGCTGCTGCCCTCCACCTCCAAGCTGGGCACGTTTCAGCAGCAGGCGCCTTGCTTTGGCCTGCAAGGCCACCTGGTAGGAAAGGCACTTTGAAGCTACCATGGCCCTTGCTCTGAGGAGGCAGAGGCTGCAGTTCTGCATAGCTCCCCCATCCCCTTCCTGATTTGTGCCTGTAAGGTTTGCTGCTCATTCACAACCCACAGCTGCCAAGCTGCTTGGAGCTGGAGCCCTCCACCCATCTCCACTTCATCACCCACTCCCGCAGAACTAGGTCAGCTGCACAGGAGCTGCTGCCTCAGCCTTGTTCTTTAATGGCCTGTTGCCACCTGTCCAGTGACTGTGTGCAGAGAGCCTTCTGCAGCCACCTGCTCTGCGCAAACAGGAAAATCAGCCCTTCAAGCTCTGCTGGCAGGGCACTCGCTGTTGAAGGCTGGGCGCCGGCAGGCTGGGATGGCTCAGCTACCTTTAAGAGCCCTGGTGCTTTCAGCTTAGCAGCCAGCACAGGAGGAAGCAGCCTGAGGAAAAACAGCTACAGGCAGCAGCTGGGGGAGGCCAGGCTCAGTCAGACTTGCAGGAAAGGAGAGTACTCCTGCAGCCTTGGCCTTGGGGCTGGCAGCATTCTCCTCAGATGGACTTTAGATGTGTTCTCAACCCACAGCTGTTGGGACATCTCTCCCAGCTTAATGCAGGAGTCATTAGGTAAGAATCTCTGGCCTCCTCATCTGTAGGATGTTGAGCTGGTTCTTCCACGTGGTTCCTTGGTCCATGTCTCCACAAATCTGGACCCTAAGCGCAGTGGTGAACACACTGCCTACTCTCACCCCTGCCTTCCCTTCTCAGGATGCGCCCTAGGGATTCTCTTGGCGTTTTTTTTTTTTTTCAGAGGAGGACGTGGAGAACTTTGACGTGACGAATCTGTCGCAGGATGTGTTACGCAGCATTGAGGCCGACAGCTTCTGGTGCATGAGCAAGCTACTGGACGGGATACAGGCAGGTGCCCGGGGGCCGCTCCTAAAAGCAGAGTTCACCCTCCCCCCTTCCTTCTCACCTGGTGCCAGCCCCAGCATCCTCTGTTTGCCAGGGAATAGCCATCCATCCCTCACTCAAGCCCTGCCTCCTCCTTGAGTAACTCTCAGTAACTGTCCTGTGTTGAGCTTCTGTAATAACAATCCCAGCATGCCTCTGATGTTGAGAACCCAGGTGATCAGCTCCAGGGCCTTCCAAGTCCAAATCCTACTCTGCCACTGATGTGCTCTTGTGGCCTTGTATGCATCACTTATTGGA